TAAATGCATTATATTTATATTCTTCCAAAACTGAATGGATCGATACCCGAGAAATGGCTGTCTCTTCATATAATCTAATAATAGATGAAACCGGATGTGCTTCATAGAATCCTAATATGTTTGCGTTATTTTCTTCACTAAAAACATTATGATTGCCACATACCTTTTTAGCATTTCATACGTTGCCCTTTTCTGCAAATTTCTTTGCCAGCCTCGGAAATATATGTTCAGAAAGGATACTTGAAGCATATCACTCCTTTCATATATGCTAAATTCGCGAAAAACCATTTTAACAATAATGAATCATACAATAATTGTACCATCAACGTTGTTGACTAATATGTCAAACATAAACGTATATTTATTTGTCAGTCAGAGCACTCTCTGATATTATATAAAAATTTCCTATTTGTGCCGATTTGTCAAAAACGAAAAATCGGAATAACATATTGTATTAAACGCATGCGTAATATACAGGGAAAATTGATAGTGTTTTGTTTTATACCTCACTGGGAAAATCTCTAAAAATATTTAAAATATCTCTAAAAAAACAAAAACGACACTGCCAATTAAAATGTTATCAAGATAAATTGAATGCAAGGTAGTAAGAAAAATTCTTATACAAAAACAAGTAAAAAACTTTCAAATTTGACATAACTTGAAAGATATTCATCTCAACTTTACGTCTAACGAGTGACATATCTTATTTATTATGTGTTTTAAAAAAAATGTTAAATACCAAACTTATAGATAAGACTAAAAGAAACAGTTTTAAATACGAGGTCTGTCAATTAGATTCCCGGAAAAGTGGCAACACTGCGACTCTCGTTATGCTACGGTGTTCGCGTTGTCATTCGAAAGAGGATTCATTTCTGCGTCAGTCTGTGCAAGTTTCGTCTCGATCGGTGGTTCAGTTCGTGTGTTACAGTACTTTGATCATCGGCGTGTTTGGACCCCTTGTCGCGAAAATATGTGCTAAAAAAACTGAACAAAGAGTAGTGATCAAATTTTTGGTCAAACGTGGTTTAAGTTCCGCGGAAATTATGAAACAGTTAACCGACGTGTACAAGGATGATTGCCTGAAAAAAACAGCTGTCTACGAGTGGGCTAAGCGGTTCAGGGAAGGCAGGGAGTCGGTGGAGGACGATTCACGTGAGGGAGCTCCCTCCACCTCTCGAACGGCACAAAACGTCGATCGCCTGCGCGTGCGTGTGCTCGGAGACCATCGGGTAAGCCTCAGAATGTTGGAAGACGAGTTGGGTATCAACAAGGAAACCATTCGACAGATGCTACACGAGGATTTAGGGATGCGCAAGTTGTGCGCGAAAATGGTTCCCAAAGTGCTCACAGTTGAGCAGACAGAGCTTCGTTTATCCATCTGTGAAGACATGATTTCTCGAATTGAGGAGGAAGGAGAAGACTGGATGTCAAATGTTATTACCGGAGACGAGCCTTGGGTGTTCCAGTATGACCCTGAGACCAAACGACAGAGCATTCAGTGGGTGGAAAAGGGGGGGAAGCGCCCCACAAAAGCCAGAATGTCGAAATCAAAAGTGAAATCTTTGCTCATCGCATTCTTCGATACTAATGGAGTTGTACACCACGAATACGTTCCAGCAGGTCAGACAGTCAATGGGAAGTTCTACATTGAAGTTTTGAAACGTCTGAAGGCCCGTGTGTCTCGTGCACGGCCGGAATTGACCGAACGTGGATGGGTGCTGCATCACGACAACGCTCCAGCCCACTCCTCATTCGCAGTTCGCGATTTTTTGACCAAAAACGGCATTCCAACGCTTCCGCACCCCCCCTACAGCCCGGACCTGGCCCCCTGCGAATTTCATCTCTTTCCACAATTGAAGTCCTACCTCAAGGGCAACCGATACGACGGCGTCGAGGAGGTGCAACGTGTCACGACACGGGTGCTGAGGGACCTATCTTCAGGGGGCTTCAGGGGGTGCTCCCAATGGTGGATCCAACGGTGGCGCCGGTGCATCGAGCTAGAGGGAGACTACTGCGAAGGATTATAACTTAATTTTAAGAATTTATGTATATTCCGGACCGTCCGGGCACTTTTCCGGGAATATAATTGACAGACAAATAGGATGATTCGTAAATATGTAGGAAACTAAGCTTATATTTTTGAAAATGGAACATTATTGCATTGGTAGATACTCCCTTTTATACTCAACCGCCCAATGTAGGTTTGTTATGGTCTATACCGAGTGTTTTCGTATTTATTAGATTTTCTGTTAGTAGAATAACCCAATATCATTCTATTGATAAGAATATCTAAGTATGTTATGATGTTATTGTTAGTTTCTAATTTAATTCTAAAACGTATGTTAGAGTGTATCGAGTTTGATTTCTTGACCATGAACCCATCAACGTAGCGTTTCCATAATTATAATAATAAATAATAAATTTAGATGCAAAGTGTTATAGGCTTTTTTCTCAAAGACTTCAATAAATATATTCGTTATACTTGTCGCGAACATTGCATTGCATTTTGTTTGATGTTAGGATTATTTCATAAGCTGGCAACAGCGCGGTTTGGCCGTGTAGTCAAGAAGACGAATGCGTCAAAAATATAGAGGTTATGTTATGTGAAAAGGGTCGTTGTAGTATCCTCACATTTTTGTTGTACCGAGAATAACCGTAACCGAATCGAAGTATATCTATCTATGTTAAACGGGTAGTTTATCGCGGGTATACGCAACAATACTGGTGATAATGAAGACACCAAAGCTGTTCCCGACGACTGTTCATAGATGTGTTTTAATATAGAAGCTGGAGAATAAGGTGCCGACAATAGGTCGAAGGGGTAGACCTAATTAGTGAATCTTTGCAAATCCGTAGAGACTATATTTTTCACGGATTCTACAAACAAACGCAGAGGGAGGGTAAACAGTTTATGAAAAATTGGGTATTTAAGTACAATTGAATAATATGTTCCTTGGCAGAAAACTTCCTGTAAATTTCGAATTCCCACTCCATATTTTATTACGGATCCGGATCTCGTACAAAATTCCAAGTAACTTTATGGCACGCTTGGGGAATTTCGGATTAAAAAAAAAAACGGAAACGTCTTGCGTTAACAGCCGATAAAGGCTCAATGAATTTTTTTATAGTCCGTGTCGAAATAAAGCCGCATTAAAAATTGCGAAAGTAAAAAGACGGAATGGCTCATAAATGAAAACGTTTGCGAGGCATAAAAAAGAAAAAGTATTTTCTCCATTAAAGGAGTGTTCTTCAAACTTGGTTCCAACAAGGGTGAATCAAAAAATGTCGAAAATATGATGTTTGATTTTTGTGGTGACGTTGATGTGCAGAAAACAAAATATTTTTAATTAAAATTAAAAAATATACAGCGTAAGTAATAACAAGTAATGATAAATGGCAAAATAGGAGATTCGTTTGGTGAAAATATTAATATTTAACGAAACTTACTTTGGTAAAAAAATTGATATTAATCGCATGCAATTTCATTTTTGATTTCTTTAAATACTTTCTGCTCAAGCTCTTTGTACAAAATTTGGCAAATGGGGGTTTTTTGAGCTGACGAATCCATTTTGGTGAATCATTTTTGGGCAAATTGCAGAGGGCGGTATATATGGTACTTTTGTATGCAGTTTTTTAATAAGGATATCACTATTTACACTTATTTTACCCAAAAAAACCTTTTAAATTTAGCCCCGAATCGCAAATTTCGATAAATTTGGGTTTGAAATTTCCAGTACATCATTAACTAATATTTAAAATTTATTTTTTTTTTAAGTCAATTTGTTTTGAGGCTTTTACAACAAGAGGCTCAAAAAAACTTCCACGTCAATAAAAACAAAGAAAAAATAATTCTATTTGGCAATAAATATTCAAAATAATTTCCATTCACTGTGATGCATTTAGAGACACGTTTATTGAAATATCGTCTGATTTAAAATAATAATTCCTAACTTTCAAATAATTGAGCGGCATTTTCAATCCCGCACCATACTTCATATGGAGCATGAACTTCTTTTTTATATACAAGCAACTTCGTATACCCTCAGACACAAAAATCAATTGGTTCCCACGATCAATCACAATAAGGAAACTGCTTATTTTGGTAGTCTCTAATATATCTCAAAATGGCACCTTCTGAGATATGCATGAATGTGATTGTTCTTAATTCTAATGGTAGATCATCCAGACCATTGGGGAAAATGAATTGGCAGTTGGCAGTTTGAAGGATCCCAATATGTAATCAACAATTATTTCGCACCAAACTCTTATTTTTAAATTCCTATTGGAAAATGGCGTTGTCCCCTCGTTAACCAAAAATTTTTAAAAAAGAAAGAAATTCATCCAGGTGCCTCTATAGTATCGCCGGAGTCTACTTTGCACTATTTTACTGTCTTTTATTGTGATTATGTTAATCAAAGTCTAGTTTGAACTATTTTTGCGTGTTCACAAGAAACTGTTCAATTAGGTGCGACTACAAATGGAAATTTTCTGAAAACCGGAACCTTATTTTGTCTAAAAAAGGTAGGGAGGTATCAAATGCACAAAAAGTAGCATACGTATAAAATTATTCATGAAAATGGATTTGTCATGTTAAGAAACCCTAATTTGTAAAATTTCGTGCGGAAACTTCGATATTTTCAGAAATTATTAAAAAAATCAAAAATTAATTTGTAACTTTGACAGCCTGTATCTCGATTAATATCAACCTTTGAACTAAGGTAAGTTTCGTTTAATCGTAGTATTCTTACCAAAAGAATCTCGTATTTTGGCATGTATCATTACTTATGGGACACCCTCTATAATAAATTAAATAAATAAATAAATTTAAAAAATAAAGACTAGAATTTAGTAATAGTAAAGTAACCAGTATACAAGTGACGCTATATACCGAAAAATGTAAACTTTGACGCCCAGCTCTGTACTTTACGGAGGGCGGAGGATGGTCAAGTGACGTAACTAACTACTTAAATAAGTTTTTTGACAATTTTTCAATTTTTTAGGCTGGCGAGAACCTGCACCTCTACGTCACCGTATCCGACGGCGAATTGGCGGCTAAAACTGAAGTCTACGTCAACATATTGAACGCGTCCTCCCCCCTCAGGTCTTCCCCGAAGCGTCCAGCGTTTCCCCCATCGACGGGTGTGTTTCCCCCCGGCTTCATCAACTACCCGGGATTCAATTCGAGGCCTGCGCCGATCCCACAAGGGGTTTTAAACAACCTCACCAACAATCCGCCTTCCTCTATCACCAATAACCCTTCCACGCCGCACTTTCAGCAGAAGGCACCGAAAATAACCCAACTGAAACCGGTGGAGGGGGTGGACGCTGAAGAAAAAGGTCCGTCAAGGGTCGGCACGACGTCCACCGCCACCATTCCGAAGAAAGACGTTAAAGAAGAAAGCGTCGAGAACGATTTGGGGGACGACTACGGTGTACGAGAGTCTTCCGAGATTGGGTCGACCGTAGTGCCGATAATGTCTGTGCTAGCGGTTTTCTTCACCGTGGGCGTGCTCGCCGCCATTTTTCGGAAAAGGATATACCTCGGAAAGACTAAGAAATCTAAGGAAGACATGGTACGTATAAAAGCTTGGGTGGTCTAACGAATCCGTTTTGGTTGCAATTTCGTTGATTTATAAACCGTCAACATACGAATATAATTGCTTTTTAGAAAATTTTGAGAATATAGTAGCACTGGTTGGGATCGATCATGTTTTTGGTGTGGGTGATTTTAACATCAATTTATTAAAACATTTTATGGAGGGTGTAGGACTAACGCAAAGTATAAACTAACTAACTAGAACTGCTAAGCTCACCGCAACTTTACTGGATTATCTTCTTACCAGTTCCATGATATAAGTGACCATAACCTTGTTTATGGTGCTATTTTTATTTGCCACTTCTTTTTGAAAATTTAAATTAGAAAATTGGAATATAAAAAAAAAGAAAAATGTATATAAGGAACACTCAGTAAAGCAGTGAGCAGGTCGCAACGGATGTCTAGGTGTGTGCAAATTTAAGCCTTAGCTCGAAGACAACCAAAGTAAATTAAGTTAACCGGAGAGTAGAGTGGGTTATTGGGCGCCACTGGTCTGCGACGGAATGTACCAGAATTCCCCCTGTGTGGTATTAAGTTTCCGTTACACGCTTGGATCTTACTTACTGTAACCTCATTTCATTCATCACTTCATTTTCTATAAACCATTTTAACAGAAATTAAAACCAATTTAAATTTCCCCATGCATATTTTGTGTACCCATAGTCTACAGGCCAAGGAACAAGGTGAAAGGTTCCACCACGATATAAAAGAAATTAAACGAAGATATCAAGGTCATTAACCGAAAAGGTCATTATGGAATATACAAGAAAATCCACTAAATGAAGTTTTTCGGCCAAGAGGGAGCGATCTTCCAAAAATAAATGTACTTAAGTAATGTTTGAGCCTTTGTTATTTCATTTTAGTGCCTTCAATTCGGTTTTTGTTCTTGTACTAATAAAAATTATGTTTAAATAAACTTCAGTTAGGATTCTGTAATTTTTTTGTATAGCCCGAAATACGTAATTTCAATATCTCAAGATCCCCCTGTGGGGACGGTGGGCGTAGAAGTGATGCGACCAACTACTACTGTCGAAACGGCAGATTCCCCGTACGTTTCATTCGCTGTCCCGCCGCTGTTTATCCTCTTATTAAAAACCTTTAAGTCGTTTATCGGAAAAAGGAAATCATTTAAATTAGCTGCCAGTCGACCTGCTTTCAAACGGTATCCACGCATTCAGCGTATTCCCCCGACCAAAGCGTCGAAGCATCTTTTGCCGGTCCAATTATCCCCGTCTCCGTGCAGTGGCGCGTTAGCATGGTAAACTTTCCAATTAGAACATTTGCGGGGACCCGGAGGAGATCAAAAATCCCGTGGGGGAAGAGAAGTGGCGTAAATGTCGAAGGTCGGTAGTGTCTGGGCCAAAGTTCGAAAATGGCGTCGGATTAGTATCGCTTTAGTTATTCCGTTGTTTGTCAGTGTCTCGCGGTGCCATATTTCCCGACCGCGTTGGGAGCGGGGTGGGGGGATGATTCGGCTTCAGCCGGGAGGAACGATTATTCATAACGTGGCATGCAAATCCCGTATCGATTTGTCAAATTCGAACCCAACTCCCGACTTTGTTATCAACATTAAAATAAATAATTTAAGCATTTAAGAAATCTAAATTAAATAATTAAGTCTCAAATAATGGACTACTTATTTTTGGAAAATAGTAATATGAATAATAATAATTATAATAATAAACTGTCTTTATTAACAACCAAAATATTACAATATAAGTTATAACACAAGAGTGGATACATCTGCAAATTGCGCTCTTCCATGTAACCACAAGAACCAATAATTGTCAACAAAATGCACCCGTATATACATCGTAAGTACAAGAAATTGACGCACATCATAAACTCATACGCTTTAGCTAGATACTGGCTGGCCTCATAAACAATATTAACCCTCTTCTTGAAGGACTCCTTTGTTAGACACGAAGAACGACATCATTATATATTCCAAAATACACGAGGAAATAGATCGATGATGCAAACGTATAAACGTGTAAAATGAAAATAAAAAACATTAAAAAAAAGTTTAGGGAACAAGACTAAAGTAAAGAAAACAAAATAAATGAAAACTCAGTAATAGAAGAAGAATATATAGAAAAGAGCTGGAGAACGATTCGCGAAAATATCAAAAACGCAGCAAAAGAAGCTCTTGGGGAACGTAAAACCGACACAACATCAAAAAGAATACAAAGTACACCTTGATTTTGTGACGATATAAAACTGAAATGTCAAAAGAAAACAAGAGCGTATCTCAAATAGAAGTCTACAGAAACAGCAAAAGACTATGAAGAGTATAAAAGAATTCGGAATGAAACAAACACACTGGTAAGGAAAAAGAAAACAGAACATTCGGAAAAATTCTCAAAAGATATGGAACACGATTTCTATGGTTTGCAAAAGGAGATCTGGAGGATGAAACGTGGACAACTACAAGAAATGAAAGAATTGATAGAGGTAAAGAATATCGAAAAAGATACATTGGCAAACCACTTAAAACAATTGGAAAATAGAACGGAGACTTTAACAGCAAAACCCCGGATATAGTAACAGACGAAATACTAGAAATAAATACTGTGAAGCAATTAAAAAATCGAAGATCGGCTGGCAAAGATGAAAAATTATGAAGTAACGAGGTCCCAAGCTAATTAGAGAACCGACAGCGTTTATAAACAAGTTAATACGAAGATCACAAATACCGGAAGACTGGAGGATAAGCATAGGGGGGAGAAAACTGATCCAAATAAGTATCGAGGAATTAACCTATGCACGACTTTGAAACTGACAACAAAAATTATTACAAAGTAAAACCCTCTGAAGAACAACAAGGTTTCAGAAGTGGAAGATTGTAATGACGCAGCATTCGTAATTAGAAAAATGATAGAAGAATCAATTGAGTAAAATAGGCCAGTGTTCTTATGCTTCATAGATTTGTAAAAAGCATTTGACAGGACGTGATACATATACTTTACACCAGAAAAATCCCATTTGGTACAATAAAACTAATCGAAAATATATTCAAGGCAAAGTAAGATTAAATTCAGGGCTAACTGAGCCCATAGATGTAACTACAGATAATAGGCAAGGAGACTTTTAGACAAATTAGACACAATAATTAGAGAACTAAAACCAAAAAAAAAAACTATAAAATGGGTAAAGAAATGCAAAGAAATTTAACATGAAAATATCGGCTAAAAAAACTAAATCTCTACTAATCTCTAAGGAACCAATTAGATGTAAGCTGCAACTTGATAACCAAATTATAGCAAAGAAAATCAAATATTTTGGAATTAGATTATCATATGATAATAACATAGAGGATGAAATAAGAGAACAAACTGCAAAAGTCAACAGAAAAGCAGGATGCCCAAGAGACGCAATATGGAAGAATAAATACTCAAGAACCCTAACAAAACCTCGCTTATATAAATTCGTAGTTCGACCCGTCATGACATATACTGCTGAAACAAGACTCGAAACATCTGATGAAATGAAAACATTAAAAAAAAACAGCAGGGAAAACACTCTGGGATAGAGAAACAGATGAAAACATAAGACACATATGTGGAATTGAAAACATTAACACCTGGACAAGAAACAGATAGCAAGAATCGAATCAACATATAGATAGAATGTCTGAACAACGGATAGTGAGGATAGCAAGAGATAAATCGCCTGCCGGTCGGATAAGTACAAGACGCCCGCGGAAAAGATGAAACGACAACTTGTGATAAAAATTAGATTCAAGTAAAACAGACAGAAGTGCCTAATATAGAAGAAGAAGAAGAAGAAGAAGAAGAAGAGCCATTTTTTGAAGGACTTTATTGTGGGAAGGCATGGTGTGTTTCTTTAAATATCTGCGTTATAGCTAAAAAATCTCTGGAAGTGAGTCTAGGAAAGCAATATCTGAATATCACTTCTTGTGTTTTATCAAAGAAGTACTACGGGGTCTTATTAGAGTTCAGTAAAAAAAAGCCAAGGTGGCTAACTGAACTTTATAACTGTCCTCCGGCTTGCGTCAACCCGAATCAGAGAGGCACTGGGAAATATGGTCATACTTTCTGAGAATATAACTAAAACGAATACAAGCATTCTGAAGTCGTTGGATCTCGATTTAGTATAGCTGGTCAATAGGCACAGAGGGTAAGTTTGACTTCTTTACCGAGAAGATGTTTATGAATATACAATGTCCTCAACTTATAAAAGGACTTTTGTAACATCGAGCCAACATGCTTAGAAAAGCGCAAGTCACAGTCAAACCACAACCCTTTTCCAAAGCAATAGCATCTGAATGAGTATTTCCTATAACTTGTATGTACTTGCGAAATAGATCTCTCCCTGATGGCCGAAAAATTTCGTTTAGAGTATTTATATTCTTGACCTTGATATCTGCAAAACTATAAGGATTCAATTAAACCCCGAGGTCTATGTTTCAACCGTATTTCCAAGAACTATGTTAAGCCCCGAACCTAGACGTACCTCTGGAAGCCCGTATAATTAAGGTGTTTTGGGATCCATAGGATATAATCTTCTTTATAAGTTTTGAAAAATTGGATAAAGTGTTAATAAAGCTTGGTCTAATTTCTTTTTAAAGTAGTTATTGTTCGTTACTTGACCATCCCCCGTCCCCCGGGGGAGATTTTGTGATTGCAAATTTACAGATTCCCAAGCAACCGAAAAAAAAAAATTAGTTTGACCATTCTACGAGAGATGTCGCCGCCCATTAAGAGCTCAGGTTTCGATCGCCAGATGTCACCCTTAATGGGGGGTAGGGGGTAGTTTTCGCGTTAGTGCCTTTTTGGCAATTTCGCCCCGCTAGGGGTAGTTTTTGCGTTAGTTAGTGCCTTTTTGTTTTAACGTATTTTTGCGCGAGGTGAAAAAAGCGACCGGTGTGTCGCGCGCGGTCGGGGGATTCGAACCTCGAACCCCGCGCGCTACGTTAGTCGAGCCTAGCCGAGCCTAGCCGACGACGATTTCGCGGCGGCGGCGACGATAAGAGAATTCAACTAATAAAAGGTCGCTTAAAATATAATAATTTATTGACAACATTTTTTTTTTGCGGATTAAATAAAATGCAACAGGGAAAAAGACGTTTAATGACACTAATATCGAACAAATTGTTTTATTAATCATATACAAAACCCCATCAGGACAGATTAATTGTGTTAAAGCAATAATTAGTGCATTATAACTAGGCAAGAGTCTTTGCCAGCGTTCAGTCTGTCAGAATAACTGTTAATATCTTCTTCTAAATTCTGATGGACTGAACAGAGCATCGACAGTCTTTGTGAAATACTCAGTAAGGGTGCGTTTCTAATATACATTTGGTCTGTAATTGTTTTTGTAAACTTTTTTTTATTTGACAATTCCTATACAAATTATTCAAACATGTTTTCTCTAGTAAATCCTTGATATTGTTACTTATCTACTTTTTTTTTTTGAAAGAAACTTGCACAAGGTGAAAGGTTTTTATACAGTTTAGGGAAAAGTTCCCCGCCATTTATTATTCTTTCATTTTTACTGCGTGTTTTGCACCGTGCATTGTTAAATTTCCGAGGCCAATTTTGTCTGATTTTAGTCAAAGGAACCGTCTGCTCCTACCAGTGACAATCAGGGGATAAACATGCAAGAGTGGCGCGGACCAAGAGCCTTCAGCAACAGATACGAGCCGTGGCAGAGTAACTACAATCATATGCAGGTGAGCGGATTCGAATGTTAAATAAATTTTGGATTACGTCTATGACAAAACAAAAAAAAAAAGCGTAAAGCGATACCAGCATTTTCTGGTCCTTCGAGCCGGATTTCTCGCATCTTAGTACTTTTCCGCCTGCAAATTTGTCCCACATCGTCGCGTAAAACGACTGCCGCCTCCTTGAGAGGCGGCATTCTCTACCCGTTGCCCTTTGTTCCCTTGAAATTTCCATAATTTTTCCGACAAAGAAAACGTCGCGGAAAAATACCTTCGAGGCGGAACACGCGTCTCAAATTTAGATTCACTCTTCGTCGCCGCCACCGCCGCCGCCGTCCCGCCCCTTAAATGAAATAATACAATGCGGCAACCCCTTTGAAGTCCTTAAAAGCCCGGTGTCGCGGGATTTGATTCGGAAAAGTCTATTTTATTTAAATGCCGTAAAGAGCTCGGAATTGGAACTGATGTTCCGCTTCCGGTATGCCCCTAGGTCTTCCATATTTATTTATTTATACATGGTTTTTTCTAATCAATAAATAGCTCATAAATGTATGCAAACGTCTTTTTTCTTTAAGAAATCACTTTCGTGCCACTTAGTGTCTATGAACAAAAAAATTGAAAAAATGAAATATTAACCTAAAACATAATATCGATCCTTCAGCTCTTCTATAGTGTTAACTAGGGTGCGATGAACCAGACTTTTAAGTTGACCCCATAAGAAAAAGTCCAAACTATTTACATCTGCGGACCTGAAATGGATAGTAGTAGCAGTAATAGTAGATAGACTATGACAGTTCAACAGCCGTTTTTACATGTAAATTCCCAGAAAAATTTAAGGTTCATATTAGCGAAAACTGGGCCGCTCAAGATCATTCGATCCATCACAAATCTTAGCAACAACCGACAAACCCTTACCCCCTCCTCGCATGCCTTTTTCGAGAAACGTCACATAAGACTTATGGACTTGATCTTGCACTTGCATACACACTGCCGGGACAAGCGTGGGGCTGCATGTTGTATAAATTGAAGCAAAATCTCGATCTACTCGCCGAAATCGACATGATTTTCTTTATCGAAAAAGGCATGCGAGGAGACCTTAGTCAATAAGGGTGGGCAATGTGTAAATATCTACCGTACGGAGGTTTTAATTGGTTGGATGAATAGCAAATTGAAAATCTTGACATTTTAAATATATCCGACGAATCGGAAGTCGGCTACATCCTGGAGGTCGATTTGGAAATACCGGAGGATTTGCACGCTAAATTTGCGGATTTACCTCCATGTCCCGAACATCGCTGTCCTCCAGGATCCGAAAATCAAGAATTAATTACCACCTTATACTACAGTAATCTGAAACCGGCACCACAACTTTGAGCTAAGTTAAGAAAGGTACATCGAGCCATCTCGTTTAACCAGTCGTCTTGGTTAAAAGCCTATATCGACCTAAACATTGCATTTCGCCAGGCTGCCAAAAACGAGTTTGAAAAGAACTTCTTTAAATTGATGATCAACACTGTGTTTGGGAAAACAATGGAAAACATACGGAATCATCCCAAAGATAATGGTGAGGGTTGAGGGAGGGAGGTGATGGTTGAGGGAGGGGTTGAGGGTTGAGAGAGGGGGGTGAGGGTTGTAGGAGTTGGTGAGGGTTGGACGGTTGTTGCTAAGAGTTATGGCGTTGAGCGGACCAATTTTCGCTACTTCCTATTCGTAATTCGATTTCATGAATTATTTTAATAAAACATATTGACAATTACTTGCATGCTGCCATCAAATTCTTTAGAATTGATTGGAGAATAATTTTTATTTAAGAGAAATCAGTGGCGTACCATCAATATCTCCCAAAATAGACAGGTGAAATTCTGTACTCCCGCCACTGGAGTATTTTTAAAAAAATGTAATACACCTAATAATTAGATGAATAGATAGATATATTTAGCTATTTTTTACATAAAAAGTCTTTACAACAAATGGCGAGTCAGTAGTACAAAAGAAAAAAGACAGATTACGCTGGCAACTTGTGGTTGCGGATAAATAAATCGTATAAACAGAGTCTTAAGGTAGAAAAATAGAAAAGATCCATGCGCGAAAGCAATATGACGAAATATACAATAGACATACACTATAAAAGTACAATACATAAATTATATAGTGTAAAAACGATGGAATCTAAAATTTAACAGAAAACGCAAATATAGAGAGGCAGATAATAAAACACACGTTGATCTAAAATTCGTGTTTGGCCGAACGGGTGTATTCTGTAATTGAGCAAGAATAATAAAATAATAAAAAACAATGTCTCTTGATAAATAGTAAAACAAAATATTATGAAAACTTCTTTCAATTTATTTAACCAAGTGTGGCAACTCCCGTTATAAGTTTATGATTAATTGGGGTGATGGGATATATGACATGATATGACATAAAAAAAACCTTTTTTTGCGCTGCTCTTAGGCAAATGACAAATGACACCCAAGGCTTCCCGGTGGGAATCGAACCCACAACTTCCGGCACGTTCCAGTTGGCAGGTCAACGCCTTACCAACCGAGGCATCCTCAGTGCCTTAAAAAAAAAAGATTAAACATGATGTTTTCTAATACTTCAGGGGGATTTTAAAATAGAAAATTTTTGGGGAACAGATGTAGAATTTTTAAGAAACAAATAAATTTTATCTTTTTTTTTTCATTCCAAACAACAATATTATATGGATCGACGTCACTAGAAAGAGTGGAAAAATAAATTTTGTCCAAAAATGTTTCTAACCAAAACGTCATGAAACGAGATTAATGAACTTAAGAAACAAGTTACTGTAATAGACACTAGCGGAGCGAGTTTTTAATATACAAGTCAGTTAAAAAGTTTACCGTTGCATACTATACTTTTTCTACGACCGTTAGTTTTTGGGTGCATTTTCGCAAAACAACACGAATACATTCACTGACATGACCGTCAGAATTGGCAAACTTCAAAATTCAAAGCGTGGAAAATATCCCCGAAAACATCCGATCGCACCCAAATCCGCGCGGTAAAATCCCGGAAATGTCCGAAGTGGCTCGGATTCGTGGGAAATGAAACTGACGTGCTAAAGTGACGCTTCCCGCACGCTAGATTTTGTGCGTAATTAGGTATTTTCCAGACGGGAGTAGAAGAAAGTAATTTTGATAGAAAAATGCAGTGAGCACCAATTTTTTTCATACTTTTGGAGAATAGTAAGTAATTAAGTAATAATTAAGTAGTAATTAAGTATTTGCAAAAATATTGTGATTTATTATATATAAAACGCCGAAGCGCTGTGACATTACTACCGTCAGGAGACGTTTACCATAGAATTTCTTATTGATGAATTACATCATAAAACTTGAATCTTTAACTTTTTCCAAATATTTTCTTAACTTGACAGCGAATTGCAAAAATACCTATTTTAAGCCGAAAAGTCTGTTAATATACCGAACGTCTCAAAGTTTCCTTATAATAAAAAAAACTTAATTTTGTTTTAGGTCGCGACGCAGGCGTCGGAGACAGTGAAACCCATCGACCGGTGGGAATTTCCACGTCACCACCTAAAATTTTTCAAAATCCTTGGCGAGGGGGCGTTCGGTCAAGTTTGGAAATGCGAAGCCCAGGACTTGGAAGGTTGGTACTCAATTTCAGCAACAGGTGGCGCTTAAATTAATTATTAAAATTAAAAAAATATATTTTAAACGAACGATCAAGAAAAACGTTTTCAACTCTCCCTATTTTTTTTTCAATTTGCTAATGGAAAGGCAATTTCATTTGTGGCGGAAATCACCGCGGTTGCCGATCATTTTATAAGGGAAAACGATACGGGTATGTTTGAAACAACCCGACGGCGCCGTATCGGAATGTAATGCTCTGCCCTTTGTAAATTACAGGGCTCTATCCAATTATATCCAAACGAAAATGGGCCCTTGGTTATCATGTTTATTTAATGATACTCCCTGTACGTCATTTCAAATTTTCACGGTTTTTTTATGCATTCAAACGTATATTTATATTATTTTTATAAAATACCTATCCAAGAGTACGAAGAACTAAAAAAAATTGACAGCATGATGATTTTTTTCAAACACCTGATATATTATTTCTAATTTTGGCACTTTAAAACACACAGTTTATATATTATACATTATTATTTTCTAAGGGTTTGAAATAAATACTCATAAAAATTCAAAATTCTTATACAGATTGTCCAAAAATCAAACATTTCTGAAGCCCACAACAGCGTAAATGTTTTGGCTAGATTTGGTTAGTTTTTTTTTACGTTTTCCTCACATTTTAAAAGCAAACAAAGTTTCGTTGCTTCTATTTCAATTCAGGGATGTAACTATATACAAAAATATACTTATATCCCCCTTGTTAGTGTAGGTAGAATAATTGCTAGGACGGTCCTGGAATAGTTACGGGTATGGGTCTGCTCGGTGTTCCATAAGGGGCTGCGGTTTTGGAGTAATAAACGGTAGGCAAAGTTAATCACGGGATCGGTTGTAAAAGCACTATATTTCTGGTCGAAGTATACCTAGCAATTTCTTTAATTTGTTTATCAAATAGTTTTAAAATATTAAATTGTTAATAAACATGAACATACTTAAAAGTAATACTGAAAATTGCATTTACTTTTAAGCCACAAATTGTAATATATAACATATTTGTGGCACAAATATTTTTTTTGCTTATATTGCTGTTACACCGCTTCTGACAAATTTGGGTGTCAAGAAGTGCCAAGCGCTGAAAAACTGTATTTTTCAATGTCCATGTCAGTAATTAATAACAATGTGATTGCTAGTGGTGTACGGCTTAATATTTAATATAAAATTATTTAAAAAATATGCACGTAACTAAATAACAAAATTGCAATATTTAAAGATATAACTTTTTTATTTATTTTATTGAGTGAATTATTTAAATATCGAAATAATATTAGATGAAAAATTCTTAAATGGTAAAAATATCGATCGGTAAGGTTGCTGTGAACGTAGTAGTTCAAGGCAAAGTTAATCACGGGGTCGGTTATAAAAGCACTATATTTCTGGTCGAAGTATACGTAGCAATTTCTTTAATTTGTTCATCAAATGGTTTTAAGATGCTCGAGGTTGCATTTTTTTTTTGGGTGAATTATTTCAACATGTACATCAGTAAGTTTGCAGTGAGCTTAGTAGCAAAGTTAGTCACGGGGTAGGTTGTAAAAGCACTATATTTGTGGTCGAAGTATAATTTCCAACGTCATTTCGAGTTCGTTTCACTGCCGACACCGCTCCAAAATGGCCGCTACAACTCCCACGACGTTTCCCGACCAAATATTTTTCCCAAATATCGCAGGATCCCGCCTTGAGACGTGTGTGCATTGCAAACGGATATTATACGTCTGAAATACCCCTTCCTGCCCCGCTCAGCCTCCTAGCTAGTATTATGTTTCCTAAATCGCGACCGACGAAAGCGACAATGACAAATTGCGATCTCAAAATCGCTAGCGCATCGAAGATTCTTATTTTATTTATTTCGACAATGGCGGCTGCCTAAGCTCCGTATCCCGCGAAATTGGGTTCTGCATTGGAAAACGATTCTTATGCGCTCGAATTAAAACAATTTTCATTGCCGCGATGTACGTATATACAGGCTGTCCCACCGAAAAATGTTGTTATGACTTTACTAGATATTGCACTGGCAACATCTAAGTGGAAAAAATGTTCAACAAGCACCTCGTATAGACAGAGCGCTCATTCTTTTATGGCAAGTCTACTAATTGCAGAAAGTTTCGCCTCCCAAATATATTATTATGAAAAGTACCAATAGACAATTTCATTAAAAAACTGCAGGTATTGGAAAATGCAACCAAGAAATTTAAAAACTAGTATAAAACAAGTCAATAGACAATTAGCTCCAAATGTAACAGAATTAACATTACCAAATTTGTCTCAAAATTTGAAAAACATTTTGCTACTGCAACAAATTCCCCGTCAAAAATATTGCCATCTTTATTCAAGTGTAAACAACCAAAAATTACTTTTCCAGAAATGCTCGGAATTTTTTAAAAAGGTAAACTCACATGAAACAAAAGGAAAATTGTCTTATTAAGAAATATTTTTCCGGATGCACACTCCAGTCCTGTTTTGTAGACGAGATTGTGGTTTATGCCACAATTTACTACACCTACTTTTTACAACTTATCTTTAATTATAATGGCATTTTATGCAGTGTTTTATTAACTCATTTTGAAGTTCACAGAAGATGTAGTTGGAGAATGAACACAATGTGAAAATATAAATGAATGTGTACATGAAAATTAGTCAATTTTTTCAGAAAAATTACGGCAATGTGGCAACTCAGTTATTTGGGGATGGCGCATGCGCAAAAGATCCACACCTTCTCTACGAGAATATCATAGCCACCTGCGGCGCATCACTTTTTACCATAGTAGGGCCACTGTATTATCTAATAGCTGTATGGGTTCACCGTTCACCGTCTAAATTATGGCTAGCTGGGCCTTCAAAAACCTAAAATATTTTCAGGAAAAGACAGCGGATCGTCGATAGTGGCGGTGAAAACGCTCAAGGAAAACGCAAGCGAGAAAGAAAGATTGGATCTCGTCTCCGAGCTGCAGGTGATGAAGATGCTCGAGCCGCATCCCAATGTCGTCAAACTGTTGGGCTGTTGCACGGAGAAGGAACCGATCTTCCTCATCATGGAGTACGTCACCAAGGGGAAATTACAAAGCTACCTGCGCAGCTCGAGGGCGGAGCGCTACTACAACAACATGCACGGGAAAAGCAATTCCCTCACCTCCCGCGATCTGACGTCATTCTGTTACCAAGTGGCCAAAGGGATGGAGTTTTTGTCGTCCAACGGGGTGAGTGTGCACCAATTTCTACACCATTTTTAGTTGTAAATAAACAAATTACAATTGCAAATTTACCAAAAACAAACAATTTAAGAGTGGAAGTAACAAGATTGCTTTCGAAAAATCGTTAATTGTGCATGTACCTTGTGTAAAATGTCCTTCACATCTCGTCGAACTTCAAAGTTACGCCAAACTTCGGTAAATATTAAAATTTGTACTGTTAATTGCAATTTAAAATTATATTTTTTCAAATATCTCGCGCCCTGTATAATTGACGAAACCTAAAACTCTCTCACCAAACGGTTTTCGATACTGTTCAAATAAAATTTTCCCATCTTTAGCGGTTTTCAACCGTTTTGAATCTATCCCCGTTGGCCGATTTTTTCTATCACGTCTAGATTTTTGGATATGATTTTTTTTTATATTCCAAAATTTTGTTTTTTTTTTTTCAATTTTTTCATTCGTCAACGTTACAAAAAGTAAATATACATACAAAATGAGTTTCAGAGAGTTGTAAGAGAAAGGAGAGAAGTGCCGAATGTGATTTTTATGGTAGTAAAATACACGCATGCGCAGTATTCATTGTGACACTACAACACATCAGTGAAAACTTGTCGATTAATTGCTCACCTTTTATATCAAATATTTTGGTAAGTTTTGCATAAAGTTCATGTTCTCTACATTGGAATTAAGTATTTGATGTGTAGTTTGAGTTTTTTTTTAAGTAGAGTCAATAAATATAAAATAGAAGTTTGAAAGTGGTTTTAAAATTAATTTTATGTGATTTTAGGTTACAAAATGCCACGGACTTGTAAAAATTCCTCAGATTGTTTTTGCTACATTTGTGGGGAATACATACTAAAAACACAGCGACATGTCATGACCGATCTGGTTAAAACAGCTTATAAGCTATATTTTGGATTTTCTATCGATGAGCGAGATAAAAGTGGGTTGCCAAAAGTATGCTGCAATAGCTGCTCAAGAACGTTGAGAGGTTGGCTTGAAGAAAGTCACAAATCCATGCCGTTTTCAATGCCAATGATTTGGAGTGAGCCTCAAAATCATGAGGATGATTGTTATTTCTGCATGACATCTACACGAGGATTATCGAAAAAAAAATAGAGATAAAATTGTTTAGCCGAACGTTCTATCTGCAAAGAGACCAATTCCTCGTGATAAAGACACTCCACCTCCAGTTCCACCAGTTAATGAGGAGGCTGAAAATAAAAATATTTCTGGTCTACAATCTCAATCGAGTTTTCTTTCTGGTAGTACATCTTCATCTTCATACACTTTATCTGGATCCTCATGTCCATCTACAGAACCTCGTTGAGTTTTATTTATTGTTTTTTGATGAAATAAATATTAAATTAAATACCTACCTATGGTACTTATTTGCATATCAGATTCCGTGTTTAGAGCATAAAATAATATGAATTCATGCATGAAAACAAGAAGGAGATAAAAAAATTTTTTTTGCAGGCCAGTGTTATTAAACACACAAAACAAAACAGACAACAGTAAACTCTGTTTATCCGAACACAGAACACGAACAATTTAAAACAATTACATACATAGGTGAACCCAGTGAAAAAGTTTCAAAACATTTGTCAAAATGTGGTTTAAAAATAGCTTTCAGGAATAAAAACATAATTGGAAAATTTTTAATAAACAACAAAACGAAATGTCCAAAATCTCAAAATTCTGTGTGTGTCCACAAGTTGAAATGCGGATCGTGTCCTAAAATTTGTATTAGACAAACAGATAGATCCTTCAAAAAACGCATTAACGGGCATAAAAGAGCGTTTAAAAACAATAGTCTAGATTCTAATTATGCTGTACACTTAAACACAGGAAAACACATTTTTGACGACAATTTTGATATTTTACATAGAAAAAGTAGAAAATTAAATTTATTGGAAGCCATGGAGATTAACAAAATGAGACATTCAAATGTATTGCTTAACGATCAATTTGATTTAAATACCTCTCTTTTATTGAACCGAAATTCTCACAACAACATTAATTAAGGTTTTGTTGACATTTTTCAGTATATATAGTAGCATGCAGTTTGTAAATATTACATTTGATAAAGACACGGACACCAAGGGAGTGGAATACGGCATATATAAGCTCTATTTTCAAGAAGGGGGATCGTAGGAAGTGTACCAACTACAGAGGAATTAGCATTATATCAAGCATGGGAAGACTATATGGAAAGATAATCAAAAACAAAATAGAAGACCAGATAATAGGGAAAATAGGTGAAGATCAAGCCGGTTTCATGGCAGGGAAGTCATGCGTTGATCAGATATATACGGTAAGGCAGACTATCGAAAAGAAAAAGTTGTCGGTTAAAATAGGTAATAGGTACACAAATCGATTCACAACATCAAAGGGCCTACTACAAGGATGCCCTACATCAACAACGTTGTTTAAAATCTATCTTGAGAGGGCGCTAACACAATGGAAAAGAAAATGTCAAGGTATGGGAGTCCCAGTACGCGACGACCACTTATACACCCTAAGCTTTGCCGACGACCAGGTGGTCATAGCCCAAGATGAAGACGACTTGAGTTACATGCTCAGAAAGCTGAAAGAGGAATATGAGAAGGTAGGTTTGGAAATAAACTTCGAAAAGACAGAATATCTAACAACAAAAGAAGGGGAAATCGAAGATTTGGAAATAGATGAAAACACAACCGTAAAAGCAACAGACAAATTTAAATACTTAGGGTGTATAATAACAAAAGATGGATCAACAGAAAAAGAAATCAAATCTAGACTAGGTCAGGGTAGAACATGTATAAAACAACTGAACTCCATTATATGGAACAAGAAATTAACAAAGAAAACAAAAACAACAATATTTAAGACAATAGTAGAAAGTATAATTACATACGGAGCAGAAACCTGGCTATTGAACAAAAAGAACAAATCTAAAGTAACCGCCGTAGAAATGGAATATTGGAGAAGGTGTTGCCAACGAACACGCATGGATAGAATACGTAACGCAGAAATCAAGAGGCAAATGAATGTAGAAAAAGACTTATTAACTACAATAGCAGAAAAACAGCTTAAATGGTATGGTCATGTCAGACGAAGTGACGATAGACGGTGGATAAAGAAAATCACAGAGTGGAGCCCTATGGGACGTAGAAAGAGAGGAAGACCCAGAAGATCGTGGAGGGATGAAATAGATGAAGCCATGGAGGAAAGGGGGTTGGAAGACGGAGATTGGAATGACAAAGATGAATGGAGAGTCTGGTTGAGAGAGGGAAAACGGCGCGAGCTGTAACAAACCCCATATATATATATATATATATATATATATATATATATATATATATATATATATATATATATATATATATATATATATATATATATATATATATATATATATATATATATATATATATATATATATATATATATATATATATATATATATATATATATATATATATATATATATATATATATATATATATATATAAAGACACGGTGTTGTCGAAACAAGTGTCATGTGAAAATGTACAATTTCGTGAATTTTTAGTTCTTATTTACTGTGGTTTCTGTTACGCGATTGCTAGAATGTTTATTTCCTCTATTTCATATCTTTTTCTATATTTGTTTGGACGAGGCTTCGAATAAATTCCAAATGTAAATAAATTCGCCTTCACATACCTTCTTTTCATTTATCATTGCCAACCTACTTTTAGACGAGAAAAATTAGTAGTGTTCCGTATTAAGGCGGTTCGCGTAAGTAGTATTAGTGAAAATGAGTTAAAAAATGTTTAATTCATTAGCACTTAGCCCTGGATTGGCTAAAATCTTGCTTATCTCCCAGAACACAAAAAGCAAGGTATGAGTCGTCTGTGTCTGAGTCGATCTTGGTGGACCATGGTGTACCACAGGTGACTGTTTTGGTTGGTTACTGAAAAACAGCAAAATTACATTATTTTCCGGCGATACTATGGTATGTATCGTTGGTAAGAATATCGAATAAATGCAGCGAGATATCAACGATGACCTTTATCGAGTGTTTGTATGACTGTGCAATAATAATCTTAGCATTAATGTCATGAAGTCGAAGTTCTGTTTGTATGGAAAAAAACATAGAGTGAATTGCTAATATTAATATAAATGGCGTTAATTTGCAGTATGAGAAACATATAAAATATTTGGGAATTGTATATATGCATTTAAGTTGCAATAAAACAACGATGGATTATTCGATTTACATGAATTTTATTTATCCGAAAGATAATATGTGGCATTACATTTGAAATATGATTTCTGGCATATGACCGCCACGGCTAGCTCGGAAGTAGTCCAATCTGGACGTCCAATTTTCGATGACTTTTTCCAACATTTGTGGCCGTATATCGGCAATAACACGGCGAATGTTGTCTTCCAAATGGTCAAGCGTTTGTGACTTATCCGCATAGACCAATGACTTTGCATAGCCCCACAGAAAGTAGTCTAGCGGTGTCAAATCACAAGATCTTGGAGGCCAATTCACAGGTCCAAAACGTGAAATTAGGTGGTCACCTAACGTATCTTTCAATAAATCGATTGTGACACGAGCTGTGGGACATGTTGCGCCGTCTTGTTGAAACCACATCTCCTGGACATCATGGTTATTCAATTCCGGAATAAAAGAGTTAGTAATCATAGCTCTATACCGATCACCGTTGACTGTAAGGTTCTGGCCATCATCGTTTTTGAAGAAGTACGGACCAATGATTCCACCAGCCCATAAAGCGCACCAAACAGTCAGTTTTTCTGGATGTAACGGTGTTAGCTTCGCTCCAAATGCGGCAGTTTTGTTTGTTGACGTAGCCATTCAACCAGAAGTGCGCTTCATCGCTAAACAAAATTCGCTTATCGGGAACAACAGCAATCTCGACTTCCTTGATGATCGTTTGGCTTCAATTCTTGGATTTTGTAAGCACGTAAACCAAGGTCCTTCCGCAAAATCTTCCATAAAGTGGATGGACACAGATCCAATTCCTGCGTTCGATGGCGGATGGACTCATTCGGGTCTTCCTCAATGCTACGCTCTACAGCAGCAATAGCTTCTTCTGTACGGACCGTACGGCGTCTCTGGGGATGCGAGTTATCAATAAGAGTAAACGTGGTGCGAAAACGTTCCATGGTTAATCGCATTAACTGCTCTGATGGACGATTTTGTCGACGATAAAATGGACGTAGTGTGCGATACGTATTCCGCACAGAACCGTTATTTTCGAAATAAAATTGCACTATTTGCAAGCGTTGTTCAGGCGTGAGTCTATTCATGATGAATTGCCAAACGAAAATGAGAATGAGAATGAGGAAGAGCGAAATCCGATTTAATTTTTCCGTCGCTTATCAGAAAACATCAAAGGAAATTAATATCGTCAACATCAGAGGTTTCCTTTCCGTGCACAATGCGGTCTAAGTAGGTGAATACGTGGTACTTCGAATGATATTAATATCGCCCGAGAAATGAAAAGGAAAAGCGATTATGTCCACTGATTAAAACGTAAAGGCAGTCGACTCGCGTGTACCGTATGGCTTTTTAACGACTCCCGGCCATCATCAGGCACCGAAAACTTCGTCCATTGTTCGAACCTGGCGTACAAGTTTCTCGGGGACGAATGTTACGGTTTCCGTTTTATCGGCGGGTTTTCCGCGTCCGGGAAACTTCGCAATCAAAACGTACGCAACACAGGAGTAGAAAAAGTTTTCTTCGTGTCACGTTTTCTTATTTTTTACTGTTCTCGTTCCTATATTTATATTATCGACAATGAAAATCTTTTTTTGTATTTTACCTTGAAATATGATTGATTTTATTTGCAACATTTTCTTAAAAAAGATAAACCAAAAGGAAAACGTAGATATCAAAACAACTATTTAAAAGGATATGGAAAATTAAAATTATGAAATATTTTAATTTATAGAACTAAAAAGACTGTTCAAAATGTCTACTCTTTATTCAACGTTTCTAATCTAAAACACATTCAAGTATAACATAAATCAAATATATTACACACCTTTGCATTATTCTTAGTTAATATGGTTAATAACCATGAATTCTGAATAAACAACAACTTCGTCAGTTCCTATGCGATAACAAAATCCTCCCAGACACTCAATCTGGTTTTCGACCTCTTCACAGCACTACTTCTGCATTGCTTCATGTTACTGATGATTTATTGAGAGCAGCGGATTCTAAATTAAACTCTTGTCTCGTACTCTTGGACTATAGAAATGCTTTCGACGTCTTGGATCATTTCCTTCTCCTACCTAAACTGGAATTCTTCATTCTTTTTCAAAAATTTTTTTTGGTCAGATATATCAAGGATGTTCCCCTGGGGAGTAGTCTGGGACCCATTTTGTTCTCAGTTTGTACAGTTGACTTCTCTAATGTTCTTAAATTTTGTAAACCTCGACAATACGCCGATGATACTCAGTTAAAAGGGAAGATATTGTAAAAAACGCCTCTTCTAAGATTACACTAGATGATCAATAAAGACAGTTTATTATTATTATTATATTTTAAAGAAAAATTGGAATGTTGGAAAAATTATTAGGTTTTGGTATGTATTATTATTAATAAAAAAAAGTAATTCGAAATCAAATTTATATATAGGGGTTCCATTAAAAAAATATTTTATTAGTCGCGGTTTTTTGAGCCACTCTGCGTCCTTCAAAATAATTTTAATTGTGCATTCTAACAATCTTTACCACTTTTTTTTCGTTCGTGTTCGCAATGACAAACCACAATATCTATTATATTTTACCTAACTAACCAAAACTGTTCTAAATGTCTTGGCATGGACGACATCTTGAAAAAAATTCCGGTTGATAGCCGAAACCAGCATGCGTACAATGTGCAAAATCATCAAACTAAAGACACAATACAAAAAGGGAAAAATTAAAAACTGTCACTATTTTGCTAGCACGCCCCTGGTTAGTACAATATTACAGGTTCGTCCTTCACCCTCTATGGAAATGATTAAATATTAACAAATCCTCAAAGCTGACGAGAAAAATAATCGATTTGCTACGCTCACCCGGCCCCCACCCGCCGTCGCTTAAAATGCCGTTAACGATTTCATTCTGTCGACGAAGGGAAAGGAGAAAATTGGTTACGCAAAGACAAACGCTTTTTTTCGGCCGAAACGTGGAAAAAATGTTGTCGAAAATCCGCTCGTCGTCGAATTTTACTTCCCATTTTTACAGGTCTGATTTTTAATTTTTTTTTTTTTCCGCGACACAATTAAAATCCGACACGAAATGGCGGACAAAGTGAACTGCAATGCGGCCTATATCGATTTTTCTAGGTAAATTCTATTTGGAGGAAGACGGGTAGTAATGGGGATTCCTTTCTTTCGTCGTACACGCGAAAACTGTGGTGTATAGTACTTTCGCAAATAATTTTTTTAACTTCTATTAAAAGGTAAATTTAAAAGGTCATAATGATCATATTAATCATAATAATTTTAATAGATTAATGTTAAACAAAACTTCTGTAATGTACTCTGGAAACTATCCAATAATCTAAACACGTTGGCTGAGATTGTCTTGTCTATGGTTTTTACAATAATGTTTTTCCATATCTTGTTTTTCTTCCTTGATAAGGTCCATTTTGAACGACCCAGTAATGCACTAGATATTTAAATGTCATAGATATGGCGACCATAAGAAAAAATATGGTTGATCGTGGTGTGAGAAAAAAGAAAAGTAGAAAGGGATTTTTGACCTGACCATAAAAGGAAGCCTGAAAAGTTCCTTTGATAATTAATTTTTATTTGGGTGAATTTCGATATCCATTTCGATCGCCATCCTCTGAGGCATTTTCTTCAAACAGACGCGTCACTTTTCATTCAAAATTTAATTAAATTAAAATTAATTAAAGAACTGAACCCAATTAGAATAGCAAAACTGGAAATTTACCGGCCTAATATCAGGATGAGGTTTAAAGGTATGGTCTGTTCATAGATATAAGAAAGTGACCAGTCGCTTTTGAATAGGATTATGCAAGGGTGGTCCTTAACATACAATGCAACAAGATTATTATTATGGGTATGACTATACCCATACCTTACTTACTTACTTACATAATCTACCAAATGAATTTAAAATATTAAAGAGTAAATATGCTTTCAACATTATTATTATTATTACAATTATAATTATTATTATAAATATAGTACTGGGTTTACAAAACTTCTAGGAAAATTCCAACACAAAAGAAGTGTCATCTTTCACAACTTCTATTTCAGTTTCTCTCCTTCCAACTTCATCATTCACTTCATTTATTTTTATTATATTTTTCATAATCCAACATAACCTAGATTTTTTTTTCGCTTTGCTCACTTCAATTAACCTAAAACTACTTATTTTTCAGATCATTCACCGTGATCTCGCTGCTCGTAACATCCTCATCACCGAAGATCACACCTGCAAGGTGGCAGATTTCGGATTCGCGCGTGACGTTATATCGTCGCTGGTCTACGAGAGGAAGAGTGAAGGTACGTTAAAAAAAAAAGGCACAAACATAAGAAAATCTACAATAAAAATCTATAAGCAAGGTGAAAAAGTATTTTGGTCGTAATCCTCGACAAAGATTTTCAGGACACGCAATACTTAAATTTAAAAGTAATAATTATCGAATGGAAAGATGCGTATTATGTGTGTTTATGTATGGAGAGGGGTGGGGGCAATTATTTAAAAGCCCCCAAAACGCATCCGAATTTGAAGTTTGCCGATAATAACGTCCGTGTTTGAACGCAATTATTTCAAACATGTTTTGCAATTTCGAGTTTATTTCGGACGTAAATAAATCGTTCAGTAGCGGCGTTGTCAACAATAAAATGGGGCAGTAAATTTCAATGATTCTCGTTTTCCAGGCACAATAATTTTGTAACACTGCAGGTACCTGAATATGAATAAAATAAATTGAACCTTATAAATTAAGCAAATAAAAATCAACGGAACTGTTTATTAACATTTGCAATACCCTACACAATCATTTTTCCACCTTGTTAACGCCTTGTTGAGAAATATTAATAAGAACAAATGCCATATTATTGTAAAGTAAGAATAACTAACGACAGTTTTTGTATTTAAAAAATTATGCATCAAACATTTTGGATATTAAAAATGAAAATTTATTAGTAAGTAACGGAAATACCATACCAAAAAAAAAGGAAAAATGTCATCACAACATTTCCAACAGCTTCAAATTTAATTTTAAGGTAACAAAGGGTATTTATAAAACTTTTATAAAAAACCAAAGCTTTTATAACAGGTTTCATAGTTTCGTAAGAAAAATTTGTAATACAACTAACAAATACCATAACCTTTTAAGTTAATTTTTTATTAAACTTTTGACGTTCGTTAGCTAGTTAAAAAGGTTTTAAAGGGTTCTTAAAATAAAAATTTTTTCGGAATTAAAGGAAATGCAATATTAAAAGTAAAATAGAAGAAAAATTTCATCGTATCCAACATTTTCAGCAGCTTTAAGTTTTATTATAAGATAACAAAGGTCATATATAAAATTTTTATAATAAAACATAGCTTTTATAACAAATTTTATAGTTTCGTGCGTAAGTAAATTTTGTTAGATGAACAATAAATACCAAAAAAAATTATAAAACCACTAAAAAATACCACAACTTTTGCAGTTAACATTATCTATAGAGTCTCTGATGTTTGTTTGTTAGAGTATTAAAAGGTTGTTAAAATAAAAATTTATTCGAAAGTGAAGGAAGTACAATACGAGAAGCAAAGGAAACATTTTTAGCAGCTTTAACTTTTATTATAAGGTAACAAAGGGTATTTATAAAACTTTTATTTAAAAAAATAACTTTTATAACAGGTTTTATAATTTCAAAAGTAAGTAAATTTTGTAATACGACTAATAAATACCATTTATACCAGTTACTTTTTCTATTAAACCTTTGATATTCGATAGTTAGGTAGAAAGGTTTTAAAGGGCTCTTAAAATAAAAATTTATTCGAATTTAAAGGAAATACAACACTGAAAGGAAAAGATAAGAAAAATTTCATATTCCAACATTTTTAGCAGTTTTAAGTTTTATTATAAGGTAACAACGGCTATTTGTAAAAAGTTTATTGCAAATTATAGTTTTTTTATTGTCTTATGAGTCATTAAATTTTGCTAGACGAGCAATAAATACTAAAAAAAATTATAAAACGACCAATACCATAACTTTTGCAGTTACTTTATCTATAAAACCTCTGATGTTTGATACTTAGAAAGGTTTTAAAGGGTACTTAAAACCAACCTAAACGAATTACAGATTGCAGTAGACAAAGTTAATACATCGAGTGAAGAGTTCGGACTGCCACTAAACGTAAAAAAGACAAAATTTATGATAATATCAAAAACAGCACAAAACAATTCACAAATTCATATAAATAACCACTCCATAGAAAAAGTTGACAGTTATAAATGCTTAGGTATAATTGTAAATAAACATAACGACTGCTCTGAAGGAATCAAAACTAGAATAGGACAGGCGAGAACAACATTTGTAAAAATAAAAAGAGTGCTCCGTGGCAGCGATCTCAGCTTGGATTTAAAAATCAGAATGATGCGATGCTATGTTTTGTCGGTACTGTACTATGGTGTAGAGGCTTGGACTCTGAAGAAACTGGACATAAGGAAACTGGAGGCGTTCGAAATGTGGTTGTACCGTAGAATACCTAAGGTAAAATGGACCGATAAAGTGACCAACATGGAAATCCTGAAAAGAATAAAAAAGGAAAAAGAAATTATCAATACGGTAAAAAAGCGTAAACTTCAGTACCTTGGACACGTCATGAGAGGAGAAAAGTACCAACTACTCCAAATGAAATTACAAGGAAAAATTCAAGGAAAGAGAAATGTAGGAAGAAGGCGTCACTCATGGATGAGAAACTTACGTGATTGGTTCGGGTGCACCACAAACCAACTATTTCGGTCGGCTGTGTCACGAATACGAATAGCACTGATGATTGCCAACCTTCGCAACGAAGACGGCACTTAAAGAAGAAGATAATCCTTTGGACAGTATCAAAGGACAGGTCAGAGTCTTCGACTATGTCTGGAATAGAATTGTTACTATATGGTTCAAAATATCCAAGACCATGCACAATTCCCACTTCTTTACGATACGATACGATACAAGCACAGAAAAAATTATTCATGTGTGTGAAACGTGCTGTGGATATAGGTTTATGTATCGTTCTCGACCTTTGTGGCGATTTACTGCCTTCCAAAGATCATTCAAACATGTCTCACTTTTCTTCATTTGTAAGCACCATTTTTAAATAAGTGGTACTGTAAAATTAATTTAAACAATTGATAACAATTGATATAACATAGCCCTGTTGTTATTATTATGTTTATTTAGGCTCAAATACTACAATATTTTCAATATGCATATGAACTTTTTAGTTCCGTTGATGATTTACGAACAGTAATGTAAAAAATATACAGGGTGTCGCTAATCTCTGTATCTCTGTGCATAACAAAGTGACTTTGAAGAACACTTAATTTAGATCACGGGGTATATCAGTCTGTAATGCACTGTTATTAGCGAATATATTCGGGATTCACGTTATTTATTTACGTTGAATATTAACTTATCATATATTAATATAATAATTCAAATAATATTAATTTTTATTATTATTCTACGTTCAATTTATCTAAGTAACATTTTAATTGACTGTGACTTTTTTGTTTTTAGAGATATCAAGGTAGTAGCCAAGTTTTTTTCCAAGTGACGTATAAAACAAAACACCATCAATTCCCTGACATATCACATATTACAGTCAATTAAGATGTTATCAAGATAAATTGAACGCACGGTACTTATTTTATTATATTTAATTAAAACGTGTATCGTAAAAGTTGTAAATTTGACAACATTGCCCTCGGCAATTTTGAGTTCTATGGTGCGCGTCGTTTCCTGAAACCGTTATATGTTCGTTTAGGTCGACTGCCTATCCGGTGGATGGCGCCCGAATCCTTGTACGACAACATATTTTCCGTCAAATCGGACATTTGGAGCTTCGGAGTGCTGATTTGGGAGGTGGTAACACTGGGCAGCACGCCATACCCCGGACTATCTGCAGCCGAAGTGATGAAAAAGGTAATAACTTACTCTATTTTAACTATTCTTCATCTTCAAACACAACCGGGTATAGTACATATAGTATGTAATCTTGCCGTTAGATGTTGTTTAGATGTTTCCAATTGACATCTTTCAGGTTCCTTGCGCACATCGTTTTTGTTACGCCCTGTTTCCAACAGCTTTTTGTCTTCTTTAGGTAGCCGTTCCATTACTTGCTTGGGAAGTCTCGTATGTGGCATTCGTTACAAGTGTCCATACGAAATTAATTGTTTTCTTTCAATATCATCTACAACGGCTACTTCGATGCCCATAATTTCTTTGACTCGGTCGTTTCGGACCTCGCCCTTTCGAAAAATCCTTATTGATCTACGCATTGCATGCTTCTCAACACCTTCTACTCCATTTTTCGGCACCATTGACTAATGCTTCATATATATTTTTTTTGTTATATTTTTATTCCATAGTGTATTTCCCTGTTGCCTCTTCCTGTTGTATCAAAAGTAACTCTTGGCAATGTTTAATGTGCAATGTATTTCCCATATTCTTCGATCAGTTTACCCTTCAAGTACTCCATATCCTCTTTATCATTTGACATTACTGCTTGATCATCTGCAAATTGCAAATAAAAGTCATTAAGTTCAATCCCCATTATGTCTATTTTTTTTTTCATTGCTTTATTGATACAGCCAACAGTGTTGCAGATATACAACATCTCTGAGTCCTTTATTTACTGGGAATTCCTTGGTGACATATTTACCCAACTTCACTCTTGATATTCCATTATACAAATCTTGCGGTGCAGCAATGAGTGTATGATTGATGTTTGTGCCCTTTAAGATTTTCCAGTCCAGTCTTGTTGTCGGTATTGCACCGTTTCTGGCCATTTCCTTTCAAATGATTTGCTTGAGGCAGAATAAGTTGTCGTTACAAGACCTTCCAATAAGTCTCGTAATAGTCGTCCATATTGTAAATTGGCATGATATAAGCTATTTTCCATGGTACTGGAACTGGATTTCCAATAATATTCTTCATGTGCAAACACAACCGGGTCTAGTATAACCATAGAAAAAAAATACTTTGTAAATACAACCGAGTCTATCGCTGTCTTCATTCAGTTGCTGAGAGAGTTTGATAGATCCTAGATATTTTCTGTCCTTTATGCTTTCGCAGGTAGTCACCGAGACAAACTTTTCATACAAAAGTTGTATAATTTTTCCGGTGTTACCTTCCAGACTTGTAGAAGAAAACAAATGCGCATCGCAAAGTTGAGGAAAGGTAGCAAGTTTTTTGTTTCTAATTTAATTTCTGTTATGGCGAAAGACCATTGGATAGAAGTTCTTGAATTATTCAAGTGTATTTGATTGACTTGAACAAATTGGCTGGATGTTCCGCAAATTGAAACCTTCAGTTAGGAAAATGAATTACTCGGGATAAGAAAAGATCGACTTTGTTCGTCTTTATATTGTAATTTTCTAGTGTCTACAGAATAAGTATTGTTATTATTGCTATCTCTTCTAAAGTGCCCTATAAAAAGAAACCCCAGTGGGTTTAAATCTAGATTCCTTGCTGGCCAGATGGTGTCATTTTGCCCAATTGATTGTCTAAAATTTTAAAATGCACTGATATCAGAACTTCGACCATAAGGACGTTTATTCTCAGTAAATATCGAATCATGATTAAATTGAAATGATTAACTAAAATAACATTAATTTATTTATTTATTATCATATTTATCGTTGGATTCGTCTTTTAAACGGATATAACCCTCTCTGTCCAGTATAAACTTTTATGGAAAGAGTCCTCGGACCCAGAATTAAAACACCTTACATCTGCTCTTCTCTCTAATAATTTCCACATTAGAGATATTAAGTGTTCCATCACAAAATATACTTCAACACAACAGGATCTTTACCTGTCGCCAATATGGGAATGGAACCCCGGATACCCCGGAAAATGGCAATGGAAAAAGCAATTAATTCAGGTTCTACAAAGCTTGAACCTACAAAAGAAATACGCCTGTGACAATTATGCAAAAAATCTAGGGCATACAGTTTTAAGACCTTACCACTGCCTATTTAATCCCATTAAACATGTTTGGCACCAACTGAAATCTGCCATTCGTCGTAGCAATGTTTTTCGCCGTCTTAACTCCAATGTCCTCAAACTTATAGAAACCGAAGTTTTTAACATCCCTCCACAAAGTTGGGCAAATTTTGTTAAACATATAGAAAAAGCAGAACAATCGTATATCCAAATTGCAAATAATATAGAACACATACTAATTAGAACAGGCGATGATAGCGATAGTGATACTGATATATTATGTGAACAATTTTAAGTAATTTGAGTAGGTAATAAAAATAATTTGTAATTTTATTTTAAATTTACACATAAATACATACATAACAAAATAAATATTGTTTAGTATCTTTCCAAACAAAACCCCATATAATTAAATTCTAAGCAAAGTAGCGAGCCCGTTTCAGTTAAGCACTAAAGAAGCAAAGAAGCCAACAGGATGAAAGAGAAAAAACGTAACCTGAGAAATATTTTTTCCAGACATGACTACGGTCTGCTCCTCTCTCTGTTGATCTGAAACTTGACTCATGTTTTAAAGAGTGCTTGTAACGGTCGCTACAATCGCATTAAAAAAAAAAAAGATGGCCGCTCCACATAAACGACAACGGGGATCAATTGCGATTCAACTCGACCCGCGCGGTTATGATCGACTGCTTCGATAAATCCTCAAAGAATTACCCCCGACTAGTCGTAAAATATTTTACGAATATAACGAACCCCGCCCCCCCAATTCTCCGAAATTTATACATCCGCTCAAATCTGCATAATAAAATTTCAGCGAAATCGTTTCCTTGCGTCCATTAAACGTAATCCCTCTGTGAGCGGAACAAATAAGCGGGAGACGTTGTTTTTGTTTTTCCGTCGCGGATGACGTAGTAGGCGGATCCTGAATCGTATCTGAGATTTAGTCGAGTATCTGAGAGAATAGTAGCACAAACGAGCAGGAAACTGTTACATACTTTACTATATTATTTTAAAAGGAATACGTATGAAAATATGGCCTAAACGTCTTTACTTTTGGTGGTAAGATTTTCAAAATTAATTAATGAATTAATATCTGTAATACCGCTTTAGATATTTTATATAAAATTATATAAAATTTTGCACACATATACTAGGTATCCAGAAGTATTATTTAGTGTACCACATTTTTTTTGAAATACAACAAAAATTATACTTACAATCTCCAAGCATTTCCAAAGAAATTTAATTCATTCATTTTAATCAATTTCATGTAGGGTTTTCGCTCCAAAATTAAAATATATATTTTTAATATCTGTAATAGTACTTTAGATATTTTAGTAAAATTTTGACACATATACTATGAATCAAGACGCAATATTTAGTGTACTAGAATTTTTTTTTAAATACAACAGTGGCGAGCGTACTATTTTGACAAGCAACGATGGTACGCCACTGATCTCCCTTTAAACAAAAAATTTTCTTACAATCTCGCCACTGATCTCTCTTTAAACGAAAATTTTTTTTACAAACCCAAACATTTCCAAAGAAATTTAATTCCTTTATTTTTTTCAATTTGATGTAATATTTTTGCTTCAAAATTAAAATATATATTTTTAATATCTGTAATACCACTTTAGACATCAAAAAAAAAATGCACACCTATACTATGAATCAAGACGCAATATTTAGTGTACTAAAATTTTTTTTTAAATACAACAGTGTCGAGCGTACTATTTTGACAGGCATTGATGGTACGCCACCGATCTCTCTTTAAACAAAAAATTTTCTTACAATCTCCAAGCATTTCCAAAGAAATTTAATTCCTTCATTTTTTTCAATTTGTTGTAGGGTTCCCGCACCAAAATTAAAATATATGTTTTTAATATCTGTAATACCACTTTAGACATCACAAAAAAAATGCACACCAATACTATGAATCAAGACGCAATATTTAGTGTACTAGAATTTTTTTTTAATACAACAGTATCGAGCGTACTATTTTGACAGGCATCGATGGTATGCCACTGATCTCTCTTTAAACAAAAAATTTTCTTACAATCTCCAAGCATTTCCAAAGAAATTTAATTCCTTCATTTTTTTCAATTTGATGTAGGGTTCCCGCACCAAAATTAAAATATGTTTTTAATATCTGTAATAGCACTTTAGATATTTTAGTAAAATTTTGCACACTTATACTATGTATCAAGATGCAATATTTAGTGTCATATATTTTTTTTAAATACAACAGTGGTGAGCGTACTATTTTGACAGGCATCGATGGTACGCCACTGATCTCCCTTTAAACAAAAATTTTTCTTACAATCTCCAAGCATTTCCAAAGAAATTTAATTCCTTCATTTTTTTCAATTTGATGTAGGGTTCCCGCACCAAAATTAAAATATATGTTTTTAATATCTGTAATACCACTTTAGACATCAAAAAAAAAAATGCACACCTATACTATGAATCAAGACGCAATATTTAGTGTACTAGAATTTTTTTTTTAATACAACAGTGTCGAGTGTACTATTTTGACAGGCATCGATGGTACGCCACTGATCTCTCTTTAAACAAAAAATTTTCTTACAATCTCCAAGCATTTCCAAAGAAATTTAATTCCTTCATTTTTTTCAATTTGATGTAGGGTTTCCGCACCAAAATTAAAATATATGTTTTTAATATCTGTAATAGCACTTTAGATATTTTAGTAAAATTTTGCACACTTATACTATGTATCAAGATGCAATATTTAGTGTCATATATTTTTTTTAAATACAACAGTGGTGAGCGTACTATTTTGACAGGCATCGATGGTACGCCACTGATCTCCCTTTAAACAAAAATTTTTCTTACAATCTCCAAGTATTTCCAAAGAAATTTAAGTCCTTCATTTTTTTCAATTTGATGTAGGGTTTTCGCTCCAAAATTAAAATATGTTTTTTTAATATCTGTAATAACAATTTAGACATTTTAAT